CAGCATCATGCTGTGGGGATGTTTTTCAGTGGCAGGGGCTGGGAGACTAGTCAGTATCGGGGGAAAGATAAACGGGGCAAAGTACAGAGAGATCCTTGATGAAAACCTGCTACAGAGCGCTCAGGACCTCAGACTGGGGCAAAGGTTCACCTTCCAACAGGACAACGACCCTAAGCACACAACCAAGACCATGCAGGAGTGGCTTCAGGACAAGTCTCTGAATGTCCTTGAGTAGCCCAGCCAGAGCTCGGACTTGAACCCGATCAAACATCTCTGGAGAGACCTGGAAATAGCTGTGCAGCGACGCTCCCCATCCAACCTGACAGCGCTTGACAGGATCTGCAGAGAAGAATGAGAGAAACTCCACAAATACATTTTACATTTTAGTCATTTTAGCAGACGCTCTTATCCCGAGCGACTTACAGTTAGTGAGTGCATACATTTTTCATACTGGCTCCCCGTGGGAATCGAATCCACAACCCTGGCGTTGCAAGCGCCATGCTCTACCAACTGAGCTACAGTTGAAATACACATGTGCCAAGCTTGTAGCGTCATACCCAAGAAGACTCGAGGTTGTAATCGCTGCCAAATGTGCTTCAACAAAGTACTGAGTAAAGGGTCTGAATACTTATGTAAATGTCATATTTCAGGTTTTTTTAAATATAAATTTGCACAAAAAGATAACAAAATGTGCTTTGGCATTATGGGGTATTGTGTGTAGCTTGATGAGGGGAAAAAACAATCTAATCAATTTTAGAATAAGGCTATAACGTAACAAAATGTGGAAAAAGTCAAGGGGTCTGAATACTTTCCGAATGCACTGTACATCTGTGGAGATTTGCCATGAGAGAGTTCTATGAGCATGCACTGTCTTTCTACAATGTTAGGTAATGTGTTTGCTTCCTGGAAACTTGTATTGCTGAAAACTTGAAATAACTTTTGGCCAGCAGCACCCAACAATTATAGAGGGGAAGGAGTATTCCTTTAAGAAACATGTTGTGCCAGACAAACCTACTCTCAAATGTAGCCACTCTCAAATGTCTACGCCCACTGCCAACTATGTGTACATTGTGATTGTTGAATCCACCAGGAACCAAGGAGAGACAGGCAGTTGTATAATTAAGATAAACACTGATACACAAGTGATTATCACACGGATAAATCCATTTGTGGACAATGTACTGCGAAAGACTGTATTGGATGTTGTTATACAACGGACGGTCTAATCCTGGATGCTGATTGGTTAAAACCACATTCCAGCCGGTGTCTATTCGACAAGTTACCACCGGCTAAATCTATGATGTTGAAATGCCTATTTACTCTGTTCCATCTCACTGCGCAATCCACTGTTTCATCAGTCCAGCCAAGCAATTTCTACACTAGGTCTACACTGTAAAAAGCATCTACACATTATCTCCCATTTCCTTTACACTACCATTTGGTTTTCAACATCAGACTTGTAATAACCTTGCTGTCGGTCTCTCCGACATTGTTTCAATATTGAAATTTGATCACCAGCTGTCCTATGGTAATGAACGTGTCGAGAGTCGGGACGAGACAGACAGGCTGGCAGCTTTTCTCAGCCAGTTGAAATCATGAATCAGCATAATTTTTATGGATATAAACAGTTGAAGTCGGAAGTTTACATACACCTTAGCCAAATACATTTAAGCTCAGGTTTTCACAATTCCTGACATTTAATCCTTGTAAAAATTCCCTGTCTTAGGTCAGTTAGGATCACCACTTCATTTTAAGAATGTGAAATGTCAGAATAATAGTAGAGAGAATTATTTATTTAAACTTTTATTTCTTTCATCACATTCCCAGTGGGTCAGAAGTTTACATACACGCAATTAGTATTTAGTAGCATTGCCTTAAAAAAATGTTAACTTGGGTCAAACGTTTCAGGTAGCTTTCCACAAGCTTCCCACAATAAGTTGGGTGAATTTTGGCCCATTCCTCCTGACATAGCTGGTGTAACTGAGTCAGGTTTGTAGGCCTTCTTGCTCGCACACGCTTTTTCAGTTCTGCCCACATATTTTCTATAGGATTGAGGTCAGGGCTTTGTGATGGCCTCTCCAATACCTTGACTTTGTTGTCCTTAAGCCATTTTGCCAAAACTTTGGAAGTATGCTTGGGGTCAATTTGGAAGACCCATTTGCGACCAAACTTTAACTTCCTGACTGATGTCTTGAGATGTTGCTTCAATATATCCACATAATTTTCCTTTCTCATGACGCCATCTATTTTGTGAACTGCACCAGTCCCTCCTGCAGCAAAGCACCCCCACAGCATGATGCTGCCACACCCGTGCTTCACGGTTGGGATAGTGTTCTTCGGCTTGCAAGCGACCCCCTTTTTCCTCCAAACATAACGATGGTCATTATGGCCAAAAAGTTATATTTTTGTTTTATCAGACCAGAGGACATTTCTCCAAAAAGTACGATCTTTGTCCCCATGTGCAGTTGCAAACCGTAGTCTGGCTTTTTTTGGCGGTTTTGGAGCAGTGGCTTCTTCCTTGCTGAGCGGCCTTTCATGTTATGTCGATATAGGACTCGTTTTACTGTGGATATAGATACTTTTGTACCTGTTTCCTCCAGCATCTTCACAAGGTCCTTCGCTGTTGTTCTGGGATTGATTTGCACTTTTCTCACCAAAGTACGTTCATCTCTAGGAGACAGAACGCGTCTCCTTCCTAAGCGGTATGAAGGCTACGTGGTCCCATGGTGTTTATACTTGCGTACTATTGTTTGTACAGATGAACGTGGTACCTTCAGGCGTTTGGAAATTGCTCCCAAGGATGAACCAGACTTGTGGCGGTCTACAATTTTCTTTCTGAGGTCTTCGCTGATTTCTTTTGATTTTCCCATGATGTCAAGCAAAGAGGCACTGAGTTTGAAGGTAGGCCTTGAAATACATCCACAGGTACACCTCCAATTGACTCAAATGATGTCAATTAGCCTATCAGAAGTTTCTAAAGCCATGACATCATTTTCTGGAATTTTCCAAGCTTTTTAAAGACACAAGTCAACTTAGTGTATGTAATTCTCAATGAATGTATACAGTTTTAAGTGAAATACTGTCGTAAATGCTTGAACTAATGACCAATCATTTGTCTGTTCATTCCAAGATTCTTGTAGTCTACTCTTTCTGAACATACCTGCAAAAAGCAAATGTTCTATGCACCACATCATGGCTCATTGTATGGATGATCAAAAATGTGAATTAAGCAACTTTGCTGTAAGTATAACTTCTGCACTCAAAGTGTAACGGACAACAATTGTTTTTCTAAAAAGGACTTGTGTCAGTGCACAAATGTAGATGTCCTAACCGGTCAGTGACTCCGCTGTCCTGGCGTCGTGGGGGAGCTTGTTCCACCATTGGGGTGCCAGAGCAGCGAATAGCTTTGACTGGGCTGAATTAACCAATGGGTCGCGTCTCTGGCACCCGAACCGAAAGAACGAACGACCAGCCGGCTTGGGTAGCAACCCTAGATTTGTGTCGGAACTATATCTCGGATGAAATAGTATGAATAAATTCATCAAAATAACATTTTATATGAAAATATGTCAATCATTATTTGAATATGTTGGTAACCCGTTGTATAAAAGTCATAATGCCCTCAAAGCTGGTGTTTGGAGGATATATTGGCACGGTTTACCAGCCCTCGATGAAACAACGCACATGCCAATATATCCTCCAAACACCGGCTTCTCGGGCATTATCACTTAATTACAGCTTTGATTTATTTTGAGTGATTGAAACACAGTACACAGTAAGAGAGACACACAATTCTGGAGTGAAAATAGTAGTCTTGTTTTTGCCATAAAATAACAAAAGCTTTTGAACAAACGTGAAAATACATTTTACATTTACATTTTAGTCATTTAGAAGACGCTCTTATCCAGAGCGACTTACAGTTAGTGAGTGCATACATTTGTTTATTTTTTTTATTTTTTTCATACCCCCCGTGGGAAACGAACCCACAACCCTGGCGTTGCAAACGCCATGCTCTACCAACTGAGCTACATCCCTGCCAGCCATTCCCTCCCCTACCCTGGACGATGCTTGGCCAATTGTGCACCGCCCCATGGGTCTCCCGGTCGCGGCCGGCTACGACAGAGCCTGGATACATTCATATAAATATTAAAACCTAAAGATAAAAATGTCAGAGGTCAGGCACAAACTACTATTTTGTGCTATTCCAAGAATCAAGTACATCTGCCCCATTTTGGCTCACACATAACACAAACCCATACATACATCATAAGCACAATCACTGGCCACTTTAAGAAATGGAACACTAGTCACTTTAATAATGTTTACATATCTTGCACTACTCATCTCATATGTATATACTGCATTCTATTCCATAATATTCTACTGTATCTTAGTCAATGCCACTCTGTCATTGCTTGTCCATCTATGTACATATTATTAAATCCCATTCCTTACTAGTTTTGTGTGTATTTGGTATATGTTGTGAAATTGTTAGATATTACTTGTTAGATATTACTGCACTGTCGGAGCTAGAAGCACAAGAAATTCGCTACACCCCACTATAACATCTGCTAAACACGTGTATGTGATAAATACGATTTGATTTGATTTGATAGCAACACACATTTCCACACAAAAACATAGACTTTGGGATCATGAGAAAATGACACTTTGAAAGAGTGGGGAGGGGTTGTGGGAAGGAGAGGCATGAGAGAGATATATTGTGGGAAAGAGACTGAGAAAGAGATCAACGTAAACAAAGTTATTTTCAGCGAGCCCTCCAATGTATGGAAAAAATGAACACACAAACAACCATAACTCACAGTGTTCCACCGTCTAATCATAGATCCACCAACCTTACAGCAATCTGGACCACAGTGAATACATTTGCCCCAAAGTGTATTTATATCATGTTTGCGCATGTGTGTAGATAATGTCATGTGTATACCAGTACACGTTCAATTCTTTGAATGTAGTTGTATGCCTGTGTATGTATGCACTCAGAGCAGGAGTGTGATGAGTAGCAGGAGCAGACAGTGCACCCATGACGCCATGATTGGAGCTGCAATGCCTCTTTGTTGTTGGGGGTCTCTCTGGCCACAGCCCTCTCCCTGGTAGCTGCTATAGCACTGGCACTGGAACTCTCTCTGAAAGCCCAATATGTCATCTTCCCCAAGCTGACCTTGAACCTTGAGTTTACCATTTACCATGGGCTCTATGCTGTGGGTACGGGTGCTGAGGTGCAGGTAGGCGTCAGTGTCAGGGTGTCTACGCAGGCAGCGTCCTTGGGAACCGCACAGCGCCTGGCTGCACAGCTCTGCTGCCGTGGAGACGTTAAGCAGGTACCTGCCCAGCGGACCCCGCAGGTACTCATTCAGACTAGAGCAGCTGGCCTGGAGAGACACACACAGAGTTTAAAGGGTGGCTGAACTTCCTGTTTTGGCCTCGTTTTAGGTTTGGTTAATTAAGAAATTACTGAATTCAAATGTGAGTTGGTTTCGGGGTGTGGTTTGATGTGGGTGTCTCTTGTGCGTGTTCACAGGTGGGAAGAGTTAGCCCAATTATTTAGCCAATTAGATTCAGCCAGCTGGTGTGCAACCATGGCAAAGTTGGTTTGACTTTGGATAGCCTATCTCCGGAGCTAATTAGGGACTGTCAATAAATTACACATGTTAATGAGACAATATTTTCATGTTGCACACCTTTTAGTTCTCATTAAATGCTTTCAATATTTGTAAATGAATTTCTACAAATTATAGTTGTTTTAAAGTTCTAAAGTTATTGAATTTTTACATATTGTCCCATGTAAATTGTGTAATTTACTGATGGTCCCTAACTAGCCCCATAGGGATATCCAAAGTCAACCCAAATTTACCACAGCCTTTACGATCGGGTCGCATGCAGCTGCACTCCGAATTGATGATTACTTATGTGCTGCCAGCTGTGGGCAGGATTGAAACAAACCCAACCTTCATTTACGTTGTGATGCAGTCATGACTACAAGTCTGACAAAGCTGTTTTTGAAGACCGACATTATGACCAAAGATATCCTATTTACCCTTTGTAATCAAAAAAAATTCTGACTCATATCAATGCCACATAGGCTGTTTCCTAAATGAGAAGTAGTTTTTTTGGGGCAGTTGCTCTTTAAAGGTAGATTTACATCAATGTCATTCCTGCGTCTCCCCAATTTAAATTAAACTTAAGATCCACTACAAACACTTTCAAATCATAATAACAAATGGGACATGAAGAGGGGCTGCTACAAAAACACAACTGATAATCAGCTGATAATCAAGTGAATGAATGGTTGTGACGTGACTGACTATGACACTGTGACGTGCAGTGAGGTCCTGTGAGTTGGTCATTCAGTGATCACGTGATTCGTTGTGCTTTAATGAGACTTCTGTAAATGCATGGACACTTGCCTTGCTGCCTGCATAAGCGTGGTCTCCCCAGAGGATGATGCCTGCAGCCCCAAGAGCCACACTTTCCCCAATTGTGGAGACCAGGTCCGTCTGCAGAGAGATGAAATCATTAAAAATCTTGACCATAGAAGACGTAAAGATTTATCACAAAGCACACAGAGTGCACAGTCAGCACAAATCAGCCAATGGAAAATAACCAAAATGACACCATGCACAATTGTTCAGTGTTCAATTGTTGTGCGTGGGGGCGAGAGGCCACTGGACCATATAGACTTTTTGTATGTGACCACCTCTTATCTGCTCACGCCCTCGTAAGGAAATGCACTATGGGGTGTTAGCAAGTAACATGACCAACGCCCATCCCGCTCACACATATACACATAATGTTGCTGCTACCGTCTCTTATGACCGAAAAGAGCTTCTGGACATCAGAACAGTGATTACTCACCTTAAGCTGGACAAATAATATTTATTTAATGAGTCGGACCAGAGGGATTTGCTCCAGACACCCGACAGGGCCCTCATCCCGTCATTCGCAGTAGAATGAAAAGGAGATATCGCGGAAGGAGATCGGGGTGCTTGGTAAGGAGCCGGCAACGAGTGGCTAATCTGCCTTTGCCATCGATACTATTGGCCAATTTACAATCGTTTGATAATAAAGTGGACGAACTACAGGCACGAATGTCCTACCAACGGGACATTAAAAGCAGTAATATCTTATGTTTCACTGAGTCGTGGCTGAACGAAGACATGAATAACATACAGCTGGCGGGTTATACACTGTATCGGCAGGATAGAACAGCAGCCTCTGGGGTGGCAGTATATTTGTAAACAACAGCTGGTGCACGATATCTAAGGAAGTCTTGAGGTTTTGCTCGCCTGAGGTAGAGTATCTCATGATAAGCTGTAGACCACACTATCTACCAAGAGAGTTTTCATCTATATTCTTCTTAGCTGTCTATTTACCACCACAAACCGATGCTGGCACTAAGACCGCACTCAATGAACTGTATACGGCCATAAGCAAACAGGAAAACGCTCATCCAGAGGCGGCGCAGGGAAACTTTAATCCGTTTTACCTCATTTCTACCAGCATGTTAAATGTGCAACCAGAGGGACAAAAACTCTAGACCACCTTAACTCCACACACAGAGACACGTACAAAGCTCTCCCTCGCCCTCCATTTGGCAAATCTGACCATAATTCTATCCTCCTGATTCCTGCTTACAAGCAAAAACTAAAGCCGGAAGCACCAGTGACTCGGTCAATAAAAAAGTGGTCAGATGAAGCAGATGCTAAGCTACAGGACTGTTTTGCTAGCACAGACTGGAATATGTTCCGGGATTCTTCCGATGGCATTGAGGAGTACACCACATCAGTCGCTGGCTTCATCAATAAGTGTATCGATGAAGTCGTCCCCACAGTGACTATATGTACATACCCCAACCAGAAGCCATGGATTACAGGCAACATCTGCACTGAGCTAAAGGGTAGAGCTGCCGCTTTCAAGGAGCGGGACTCTAACCCGGAAGCTTATAAGAAATCCCGCTATGCCCTCCGATGAACCATCAAACAGGCAAAGCGTCAATACAGGACTAAGATCGAATCGTACTACACCGGCTCCGACGCTCGTCGGATGTGGCAGGGCTTGCAAACTATTACAGACTACAAAGGGAAGCACAGCCGCGAGCTGCCCAGTGACACGAGCCTACCAGACGAGCTAAATTACTTCTATGCTCGCTTCGAGGCAAGTAACACTGAAACATGCATGAGAGCATCAGCTGTTCCAGATGACTGTGTGATCACGCTCTCCGTAGCCGATGTGAGTAAAACCTTTAAACAGGTCAACATTCACAAGGCCGCAGGGCCAGACGGATTACCAGGACGTGTACTCCGAGCATGCGCTGACCAACTGGCAAGTGTCTTCACTAACATTTTCAACCTCTCCCTGTCTGAGTATGTAATAACAACATGTTTCAAGCAGACCAACATAGTCCCTGTGCCCAAGAACACTAAGGTAACCTGCCTAAATGACTACCGACCCATAGCACTCACGTCTGTAGCCATGAAGTGCTTTGAAAGGCTGGTCATGGCTCACATCAACACCATTATCCCAGAAACCCTAGACCATCTCCAATTTGCATACCGCCCCAACAGATCCACAGATGATGCAATCTCTATTGCGCTCCACACTGCCCTTTCACACCTGGACAAAAGGGGGGTGTGCTCAGTCCCCTCCTGTACTCCCTGTTCACTCATGACTGCATGGCCAGGCACGACTCAAACACCATCATTAAGTTTGCAGATGAGGTAGGCCTGATCACCGACAATGACGAGACAGCCTATAGGGAGGAGGTCAGAGACATGGCCGTGTGGTGCCAGGACAACAACCTCTCCCTGATCAAGACAAAGGAGATGATTGTGGACTATAGGAAAAAGAAGAGGACCGAGCATGCCCCCATTCTCATCGACAGGGCTGTAGTTCAGCGTCCTTGGTGTCCACATCACCAACAAACTATCATGGTCCAAGCACACCAAGACAGTCGTGAAGCGGGCACGACAAAACCTATTCTCCCTAAGGAGACTGAAAAGATTTGGCATGTGTCCTCAGATCCTCAAAAGGTTCTACAGCTGCACCATCGAGAGCATCCTGACTGGTTGCATCACTGCCTGGTATGGTAACTGCTCGGCCTCCGACCGCAAGGCACTACAGAGGGTAGTGCGTACGGCCCAGTACATCACTGGGGCCAAGCTTCCTGCCATCCAGGACCTCTATACCAGGCGGTGTCAGAGGAAGGCCCTAAAAATGGTCAAAGACTCCAGCCACCCTAGTCATAGACTGTTCTCTCTGCTACCGCACGGCAGGCGGTACCGGAGCACCAAGTCTAGGTCCAAGATGCTTCTAAACAGCTTCTACCCCCAAGCCATAAGACTCCTGAACATCTAATGAAATGGCTACCCAGACTATTTGCATTGCCCCCCCTCCCCCTATTTTACGCTGCTGCTACTCTCTGTTTATTATCTATGCATAGTCACTTTAATAAGTCTACCTACATGTACATATTACCTCAATTACCTCAACTAACCGGTGCCCCCGCACATTGACTCAGTACTGGTACCCCCTGTATATAGCCTCGCTATTGTTATTTTTACTGCTGCGCTTTAATTATTTGTTACTTTTATTTCGTATTATTTGATTTTGTATTCTTTTGTGATTTTTTGGTATTCTTTCTTAAAACTGCATTGTTGGTTAAGGGCTTGTAAGTAAGCATTTCACTGTTGTATTCGGCGCATGTGACAAATAAAAATGTGATTTGATTTTTGATTTGAAGAGAGGGATTATTTGGCGTATCTGCTGATAGATCAGGAAAGGGCTGCAGCCACCGATAAGGACTGAGGGTTATGATCATGGGTAGAGAGAGAGAGCTCGATCTGTGAATCAGGGTCTATCAACCCAGCACACACACACACACACAAAAGAGTGGTTATAAAACACACCCATTGATTAAACAGAGATTAAAGAGGGAGTATTGCACTCTGATATGGAGCATTATTCTACAAAAATAAACTTCTAAACATTAAGTGAACCGCAATCATTAAAATCTTGATGGAAGATTTTATTAGGGTAGGTTTATAGCCTAGATATTTTTTACATAAATTATTCAAACAACTCCCAGACTTCTTTGTCACTGAATTGAGCTAGAATATAATTATAATAAATAATAATAATATGATACAGTATGCAGGATGGATTATCTGCCCAGCGGAAAACATACTGATCAAAAGGTCTACAAGTTCTCCTGGTTAGTACTATGTGACTGTCAGAGAAACAGCCCTTCACCTCTGTCAGCAGCTCCAGTACGTTGGCGTAGGTGGGCCGGGCGTACACAAAGACAGGACGTGCCAGCCCATCTCCCACTGACGCCAGACGCATCCCCTCCTTCACCCGGTTCCGGACAAACTGGCGCCCAGAGGGCGAAGAGCGCAGCACCATGCCCATGTAGACCGAAGGGAAGAGGGCTGTGCTCTCAGTCCACAGCCATTTGAGCATTTCATTCCGGGCCACCTCCACGTCAGGGCAGCGGCCTGTGTAGTTCTCCAGAGTGTTCCTGTAGTCGTGGTTGTAGCAGTCTGGGAACAGGTAGAACCCCCACAGCTGGTTGGGCCGCAGGCTCTTGGCCAGCCTCAGGGTCTCCAGCATGAACTTCCGGGCCGACATCTCAAACTCCTGCTGGGCCACCTTAGCCACACGCACTGTGGGCCAGGCTGGGTTCTTCTGGGCCACCAGCTGCCTTGACTGGTTGCGGTACACATTCTTGACATCCCAGTTACGGATCCACAGTGGTCTCCACTCCTCCCAGTCAATAACTGCCAGTCCCTTGGCCCCTGCTTCGCGTATGTAATACTGAATGCCCTCCGGCATCTTCTCCAGGTGCTGAGTGAGACTGGCAACCTGCGGGAGTCCACCGTTCCTGGCAGTACCATCATGCTCATCATAGTATGGGTACAACCCCAAGCGGTCCTTGTAAAATATGGTGAGGTTCTGGCGGACAAAGCCTTTGTTAGGCGACGCCACAATCTGGAACTGCTCCAGCTGAAATTTAATACCGTGCCGTGGGCTGCAGTCCTCTGTCGGAGCATTCCAGGCCAGGACCAGAGGCTTTTGGGGATACAGTGGCCATCTCGTGGGCTTCAGTTCCTCAGCACAGACGCAGTCCCATAGAAGTGTCACCAACAGCAATACTTTCCAATCAGGCAGTACAGTCCAGTACAACATGACTTTTGTGGTGAATTAATGTATTTTCACTCTCTGCTCTCCTGTCCTGTAAAGAGAATTGACATGGCTGATTTAAATTTAGAGCGAACATCAACATTAATATTTTGATTTCTAATCAATAGATTCAGATTTGACAGTAACTGTAATTACTCTGGTACTACACCGCCATGGCCAGAAAAGTTTCAATAGAGGACGGGCTCACTTTCACCAAACAGGTTCCAGACATACAATAGGTTTATGAATGAAGAGGATAGATAATAAAGTGTGAACAGTTCAGCTGGTTTAATTCATTCTATCCAGCATGAAAGCCTCTATGAAAAATGCATTAAGATTAAGCAGCCTACTCTATATGACAAGTCTGGAAACAATACCACTTCTCATGAAGATGATTAACTTAATATTGAGTTAAAGTTATATGCTACTGAAAATAATGAGTTTAGTGGGGAAACAGTTTTAGCAGCAGTATACTAGAAGCAGCAGTAGAAGCTTGTGTCAGCAAAAACACCCTTACACTTTTGCTGTGTATAACATCCACCATTTGCCATGAGTAAGTTTTCATTAGTGGAAAAGGATACAGAAAAACATATCTTACCTTGTATAGCAGAATGAGGAAGCATTCCCAAATACTAGAGTTCACTATATTCCAAGCTACGTTTGTCTTTCAAGATGGAGAAAGTTGATTGAAACAAACTTCTCCCAATAACTACCTTGTTAAGTGATCCCTGCAACAATAGGTAAAAACACTGGTACTTCATTTGTCACTGGCATGTATTATTACTGTACTTTACAACTTGCACCGACAGTGAATGTACCGGACCCCCTGTACTGGTGTCAGTTCAGTTGCACACAACGCCTACCCCTACCCTAGTGGGTTATTTATAAAAAGTCGTTGCTAGTGCGAGTCCGGACCACTTCAGGATGTTCCATTCAGCATGAAAAAGGGGAGTGGTGAAATAAATGGTACTTTGTAGGCGCGTCAAAGTGGTTCTCAATATATTGTATTACACCAAAATCATTGTGTGAACCTTCGACTATAGACTACATATTTAAAATGTTGTTTATTTTCTGTTTTTAACTGAATATACAGTAGTTCGTTTAATTTGTCAGTTATACACTTAGAATGAGTCAGTCCAAATAGTTTGCTACTAGTTATTGGAAAACAGATGAATGTTGCAATATCTAGATTTAGGAGCAGCTGACAGCATAGAGGCAACATACATACAGAGCATGCCATGACATGCCCATCCTAAAAAAAAAGAATATCAGTATAAATTAACGTTGTCTTGTCTTCTGTAGTTCAGATCTTTATGCAATTTTTGGCAAGCAGTTAAATTACAAGCACATAATTTTAACCAATTTGTTAGGCCTATAACTGTTGATTACATATTTATAAACTATCTATAAGCTAATAATTAACAGTTGAAACCCCTTAAAACCCTTTTATAAATAATCTTAAATAGGCTCCACCATGATGTCAATTGTTAACAAATAGCCTATAGTTTAACTCCATGTAAGCATGGTATATCTAGGACCAGTGGCATTTCAACTCTGTCCAGACAAAGGCATCTGGCATGCAGACATCACCGCTGGAGGCACACGATGACAGCCATTGGCACTGGCTCAATGAGCCAACCAAGTACCACATGTTGTCATGTTGCCAACTTCATGGATAGATTCAGAGCATGCTATGGTCGAAGCTTTGAAATAAATAGTTAGAAGCAAAGGCCAACAAAACATAAGCCTAAAGGGTGCATGTGAAGTGGAGGATCTGAGAGCACATAATAGACAAAAGTCCCTGGAAGTGAGGCCTCATCCTGTGAGGGTCACTCAGTTGACTCTGTTCCGCTGTTTGTTCTCCAAGCTCTGCTGACTCACCTGCTTGTGTGTGTGAATAAGACTGAGAGATTGTGAATCTCAAACCACCCCCTAGCCTCTACCAAACTGCTCGGAGGGCCCTCCGTTGTCACGTGTTACTGACAAAATTCCGAAGGTGACTTGTGGAGATGGGATCAATAAACCCATAAAATTCGGGACACACCCTGACATGAATGACGCAATTCATGTTCCACTTTTAAAGGTGCAATATGTAACTTTTTGGGCAACCCGACCAAATTCACATAGAAATGTGAGTTATAGATCTGTAATTATCCTTGAAGGCAATCTAAGTGGTAGATCTGTTCTATGTGCGCTATTTCTATGCTTCCCATTGTTACGTTTCGTTTTTGGATCTTCTACTTTTGTTTTTTACACCAGCTTCAAAAGGCTAAAAATACAATATTTTTGGTTATTGAAAATATATTTCACAGCGTTTCTCTACCACAAAATGAAATTAGGCGAACTATTAGAATTTCAGCAACCTTTAAATAATAAAACGAGCATGAAATTCTAATGGTCGAAGTGGCTGAGGGTCTAATTAGCCCCTACACCGTCAATAATTTTCACTCCCTCAGCTTCGAGAGGGAGTGAAACACTTGTGCAAATCGAGGGCTAAGCGGCAAGGGGTGATTGAGCCAGAGTGAGGGAAGAGAAGAGATGTGTGGTTTCCCTCCATCTTGTGTGCCTACCTTTGACCCTTGACTCCTGGACATTACATCATCAGCCTTCAGGCACGCCAGGAAGCGATAACAATGTGGGGAAATGGAAACACACACCCTGTCACCTCAATCACAAGCACTTAAGAAGAGGGACCATAGGACTGTACTGTATAATTCTCTCTAACCTACACAGGCTACAATTTGAATTGCAGCTCGTGAGAAATCACTTTATAAAATGATATTTAATCTCTGAGATGTATGAAAATCAATGTTTACTCAACCAAACCCATTCATTCACATACTTTACATAAACTGCCTATAGCACTCAAAAGTGTGTCAGATCAAGGTCTCACTTGAGAAAGCGTTATTCTGAACTCAATAGGACTTCCTGGTTAAATAAAATAAAATGATGTGTCGTATCGGGTGAATGGTGGCAATTATTGCTGATGAACAAAGGAGTCCGCTCATACTGAACTTGGATCATAAGGTTTATTCATATCACAAGCTTCAGCATAAGTGACAGATGTCATGACATCCGGAGAGCGACGCCTCAGAATGGCCGCTCTGCCCTCTCCTTCGTTTTTCCCCCAGTATATATAATCTCCCCAAGATGTGGGTGGCTCCCTCTACTGTCCAATCCCCTGTCTACAACACACTTCCTGTCTGTTGTATGTGGCGTTACACTAAAACATTCCCTCTTGATACTAAAATCAACATTCTTTCAGTTCCACTTAAAAACATTTAACAAAGGCATAATCCCAATACACGACATTTCCCCCCTTCGAGACTAAACAGTCTCGAAAACAAACAGAATAGGATTATGACAAGTGACAATTTATCTTATTGAGTATCTTTAACATTAAACCAAAAACATTCTTCTCTAGAGTGTAAATACCTTTCTATGAAATATGCATAACTGTTTATGAAGTGTGAATACATTACTATGAACAAATCTTTATGGAGTGTAAGAGCGAAAAACTGTCCGGCAACCTTCGTTCCAAATCCATCCATCAATCAAGACAGTAAAATTCTCTCACGGTCCCTCTGCCCCAGGCAACCACCTCGGTACTCCAGCTAAACTCATAAACAATGTAAATGCATTTGAAACTATGATGCAATTAAATACACATGTAAGCCCCTGCAAACAAAATCCTATCCAAAAAATATCCACTCTAAGGCTGGTCAACCCATTGGACCCTACAGTGGACCTCTCCCTGCCTAGACTCCCTGTCCCTAAGCATTCACGAAATAAACAAAAACATCTAAGATCCTCACATGTATTCAATAACATCAAACATCATTCTACAAAAATTAATACCTAAGAATTTGACACAATTATGTATTACACATCAAATATGTCTATATTTCATTGCAGACACTGGAATGTAGTCCACTACACTTCATCTCCCCGTAGTCTCCTCTTCCAATGGATTGTTGATGATGGAATCGGAATCTTTCCACACCCTCCTTGTTTCATCTCCTCCAGTCATATTGTCCCTTCATATTGTCCTTGTTTGAGTATTTCAATCTCCACATGTTCCCCCAAATGCTTCTGGAAGAAAAGAAAATACCAAACAGTATCTTTTGCAAAACAAACACTTTCAAATTAAACATCAATATCAACTAAGAATATAAAAATGATATATAAATGATGTATGAATCACATTAACCTATTCCCCCCTTTGATTCATAAAATCATACCAAAATCACCCTAATATTGAAAAAAAAAAATTTGAAAAATGATCAAATAATCAAAAAGGATATTTATCTATTCAGTTCTACTTGTCCATCTTCATCCAGATCAGGAACAGTCAACACCGGCATCTGAGTGTTGTCTCCAGGCATCACTCTCCAACCTATCTCAATCTCATAGCTTTCTCAAAGGTCAGTCACAAATTACAAACCTCACACACAGTGCTATCAAAGCTGCAACTAAAATCTGAACCATCACTGCCCCTACTGGGCCTACCTGATCTTGCAACCAAGTCTTCCCTGACCCTCCAGCTCCTTCAGATATACCAAATGCATCCCTTATATTCTTTAATGCATATATAACCCTAGTGATAATATCTGAACTATCTGGACTCAAAGTATAACTAATATTATCAATATGATCTTCCCAAATGTTACACCATACCATGGAAAAAGTCCCCCCTTCTCCCTTAGATTTATCCTTCAATGATAGGCTTGAAGACTATGACATGTCTCCATGTCTCTTTCCATCCAATTTCAAACCTAGCTTCAGATTTATCTGTGTCCGGTGGTACCCCTCTTTTAATGGTAGAAACCTCATATGGAAGCTTCAACGTCGACATGTAACAACATCCTATCCATCAATAGGGTAAAAATATATATGCTTTATCACCACAAACCCTCTAAATATCTTTAACATTCCCAATAGTCACATTGACAGGCAAAAGCTGATCTTTCACCATCAAAGTCCTGCTCTTCTTACTAACTGGAACA